TAAAATTTTTATTAAGGAGGCAGAAATAAAAAAGCACTGGTATTACAGTGATATGTTTGGCATTATAGGATGCAACTGTTATATGAATAATTTTTTAGGTTTACTTCTGACTCTCTGGGTTTCTTCAGAACATTATTGAACAAAAGGCATCATGAATATCAAAGATCACACATGATACATATAAGAGATAAAACTGCGGAGAAGTTTAAAGTCATCTTAGAATGAACAGCATCTCAAAGAAAATAGAGAAAAATATGAACCAAATGAAAACCTTTCAAGATGTCCTGAATACAATCACAAAACACCAAATTAGTATAAGTTTGTGCTTGTTATGTGACAAAACAAAAAAAAGTTCAAGGGCAATTTATCCTTCTGCGAGGCAGTGTATTCCACAAAACGGATAAATACTTTTTTATTGTGGAGCTTTAGTGCTCCCATTGTTCCACACTGCTTTAACATCACAGATTTTTTTCCCTCATATCTTTGATGAAACATTTATGGTGGGAAAAAAAATATTCAGCGAGAATTATGCCGCTAACGAGACAGTGCTCTCTGACTTTGTTTTAGGCATTGCATCAATTAGCGTCAGATTTCTCCAAGGGCCATTGAGCCATGTGCCTACATTGAGTGGGGAAGGTGTGTACAAGAGTAAATGGTGCATGACTATCTAGCTGTGTAATTTAACACCTTTTAACATGCCTGAAGCAGCCTTGGTGCATCAAGGTGTTTTTCTCTTTTAAACACCCATGTCTGTTAACGTTGAAGTACATCCACATGTCTTTAAAATGCATGGCTGCTTCTGACTCTCTGGGTTTCTTCAGTCTTTTTTTTTATTATTATTTTTAAAGATGTGAGGCTGAGCTGGGATCAGTCACTCTGGGCAGTTATTCCCTTCTTTTCCTCATCCGAATGCCGTGTAGCAGAAGGGATAGAATTTTAATGCAGCTTTGCTTGATTTATTTGTCTCTACCTCAAGTGAAACACTAGCCAAGGCTGAACAAGAATTTGTAAGACTTATTAAAACATGCATTAAGGCATCGTGGCGTAAATATTTCCTTCGTGTTCCTATATTTGATGTGACTAATGTGATCAGTTTCACCGTTCATCTTCAGAGGACATGGACCCAGGACACTTATGTGATATAACAGTGAGCAAAAATACCACAACATTGCAAAAATGACACAAAGTTATACAAAATCCATCTCAAGAGCTTCCTTATTTAATTTAAGACAGAAAAGTATTCATTACTTGATACTGCTTATATAACATATTATTAGATGGATTGTTTTATTTGGATTCTGAGTACATTTAAAATCAAAATCAAATCAAATTTTATTTGTATAGCACATTTCAGCAGCAAGGCATTTCAAAGTGCTTTACATAATTAAAATAAAAACAGCATGTGAGAGAGTTTAAAAAAAAAACCGTATTGTATACTGCACTTGTTTACAATGGAAAGTATCTAAGCCTAAACTAAGTGCAGATGTTGACAACATCTGGTGACATTATGAAGAAAATACAGTACCTAAATCCAAAGGGAGCTACAAAAATTATCTTTAATATTTCAATAGTGATTTGTTTAAAAAATAAGGCAGAAAGTAAGGCATTCTGATTTAAATTAAGCACTTACGTATGAGTTTCTTTATGCTGCAGCTGGGATCAGTCTCTATCGTTCTGGTGCTTCTGCACATTGTCTTAATTATGATGTTTCCCTCTCCTTACTTCTAGTCCAGCCTTCCACTTCTTACTCTTCTGAAGCAGAACTAAAGCTGGCACCCTTTATTTATCCATTTCTTACTCACTCCAAATATTACCTAGAAGCATAGGCCATTTTTAAAACTGCTTTTTATGTTTTTATTATGGCAGTTGTAACATTAGATTTTTTTAAGATGGGAATCTCGGTTCTTTAATGGTTTTAAGCTAACAAATATCTTATTCCAACATACCTCTCGTAAAGCGCAGGATGGTTCTTTAGAGTCTGAAATCACTTATTTTAAGTGTGAGTCATTTAAACTAAGCAGCCCAGAGGAAAACATAATTGTATGGTAGATATAGCATCATATGCATACTATTGTTCATGGTTATTGTTCTTTGCCTAAGGCGTAAGTACTTAGCAGAGGACATCTCGTGAGACATAGCAGTTTAAAAATGCAGTAGCATTTTCTTTGCATTATCTAGTTGTATCAGTGTCTGAGGTGTCTGAATGTTGAAGGCAGTCCTTTACATGTGACACGCCATGTCCAAGTTTGGTACTCTTATTTAAAACTATAAAAGAAACATTCAACTTTTCAAAATAGAAAAAGAAAAAGAAGCTTGCCTGTAATGTAAAGTTTGCAACCCAGGAATCAATTTTTATTTTTTTTTAATAATAAACAGAAACTTATTTGATAAATTTGCATCTATCTTCCAGAGTGCATTCCCTGCTTGTAATGACACTCTGCTGTATCTTTGCTGGGTATTGATGTAGGAAACAAAAGGTGGCACCTTTAAAATATGAGCCATTTAACCTTATTCAGCCTGATTTTGTGTTTCATTTCATTTAATTGATATTTGTGGTTGGTGAGCCTGCAGGTGTGGAACTTTTTAAAAATTCTCTCCTCCTGTCTCCTTCCTTAACTAGCAATACCCCTGCACCTGCAGCACAGGGAGACAGGGTGAATGAAGCATGGTATGTTCAAAAAACAGTGATAAACATGCAGCTGATTGAGTTGATAACCTCAGTTCCAGGAGCAGCTGCCTTCGGGAGGTGGACTGTTTGAGACTGGAAGGGTGGAGATATCTACCCTTTTCAGAAAGTGCCATGTGCAACATCTCGACAGCCTGGAAAAAAATATTTTTGGTCTTTGAAAGAACTCCAAAAAGGGCCTGCAGTAACTGTATGTGGTTTTTTGATAAAGCATTGCAACTAAGTCTTATGTGTGGTCTTGTAAAAAAAAAAAAAAAAAAGAAAAGTTTAAGAATTTCAAAAATTATTTTTTACATATGAATAATACTTCTTAACTACTCCGCAACATTAAAGTATTTTCTTCAATATCAAAACTGAAAATTCAGGGATATGACAGTTTTGAGACGAGGTTTCCCCCAGAAAACTTTCAAAGCCCAGTGGTTGGGTGCTAGGGCAGTTTTTAATCCTGCTGCCCTTCATGTTTTTGAGTTACATTTTTTTTAAAATTGACAGGAAATTTTAAAATATCACTTGATAATTATGTGTTATTAAAAGACTGGAAGATTAATACCTGAACAAGAAGGTCTTTAAAAAAATGCAAACATTTTAAAAAGACTTAAATAAACATGCAATGCTTATACTAATGAGGGCACAAGTAAAGCCTGGTGGCCCGCCAGGCTTATAATACATTGAACAAATGAGCATAAGATTGCACTGATGCTTTTTGAATTCTGTGTTGCTATTGTGTTCTTAATTCAGCAGCAAATGTAGGTCTTCATTTCCCAGCGTGGTGCAGGTTACAGAAATATATCAGCTTCACTTTGCTGTCTGTCTTTACAGCTTGTCATATTCAAAACTAAGATCTAACCTTTGCAGTGGGAATATTTTGTCAGCTTCTTGGTTACTAAGTTGGAAGTTGAAACAAAAACAGAATTAATATTTTGCAGCAGCATCACACGTGAAGTCAAAGACACCTTCAGAAAATGACGGGCGACATTGGAAACATGCACACAATGTGGTGAAACAGAAAACAACAAAGATACTGCAAAGCAAACGCTCTGCTATTAAGTAAAGCCAGCTTTTAACTCTCTGACTTCAGACTACAAGGTGAAGCCACAGCAGTTAAATTGTATAAATGCTTTATATTGATATTAGCTTAGGCTTATTTTATTTATTTTAATAGCATATGGATAGATTGGAAATATTTTTTATAACATAACATTAATACCCACAACTACTTTTGAAGCAAAGCTGTAATGGTGCTATATGACTTAAAATATAAATAATCACTTTGCATGTGCAAATACTGCACATATAAAGTAGCAAAGGGAAACTAGATTTTTGTTTTGTCTTCCATTTTGACGAATGTATTAGTAAGAGACCGATAAAGTTTCATGGTAATACACAGATTTACATTAAATTAACTATTTGTCCACAGCTGAAATTGGTTTGTTTTCACCTTATTGCTCCATCCTCAATAGTAGCTTTCATTCATCCTGTTTGTTAGCCATCTGCAAGCCGAGAAGTGCAGCTGCAGGAACAAACTAATTTGAACAACAATAGAATGGCAAAGAAAATGCCCTTAAAAGCTTTCAGTAATAAGTTCTGGGTCAATGGGATCTGGGGATCTCAGGGCCGTGAACAGTCAGGTCAGTTGGAAAGCAGACTGCACAGCTGCTCACAGTACTAGGAAGTGGATGGGACCTAAAGGCAGAGAGTGATAATAGAATCAGTTTCTTGTGGGTGAGCTCGATGAACAGCCTTGGCTACAGGGCTGACAGTTAATCACTGAATAGCAAAGAGCAAAACCCACAAAGCTTCAACTCTTGTCTTTGATATCAGAATGTGTTTTAAGGAATAAATAAGACACTCTTCCTTATGCTGCTTCAGAAAAGATTCATAAACGACATCCAGAGCTTCATTAAAATGGTGCTCAAATGACATCATTTGTCTCCTGTAGTGCTGCAGTAAATCTGAAACCTGAAAACGTAATATTAATACTTCTTTTTATGCGCAAAACTGTGTGTGTGTGTGTGTGTGTGTGTGTGTGTGTGTGTGCGCGCATTGCACTAGACTGAAGTGTTATATTGGGTGAGAAAACAGGATGAGTGAATTGCAAATAGTCATAGTTTTGTCCAGTTTCTGCTGATGGTGTACAAAATAAAGAACACTGAACTCAGGGGTCACGATCATCTACAATCCATTTTTTATTCTTTTCTTTCTATGTTTGTAGCTTTGCAGCTGTCCTGAAACAAGTTTATATCAACTTGTTTTACTAGTCTCTGGTCAGATGTTTATATCTGTTTTATTTTTCTCTGTTTTTGTTCTCCTCAGACGCTTTACAGCTGCCCATGCTGGTTGGACCATCCCCAGTCGGTACTTGAGTGAGTGGGCGCTTGACAGAGTTAGCACCTCGAAGGTGCAGGAGGTGTGACATAGTCCCAGCCTACCACGCATTCATTCGTACCAGATTAAGCTATTGCATGATGCTGCAAGCAGAAGGCCTGGCACAGGCGATTTACCATCCCTGCCAGACTTAACATCTTCAGACGCCTCCTCTCTGCTCGGCTAACGTCTCCTCGGGAAGGACTGCCCAGAGTCATCCGCAACTCTACTAACAATATCACCCAAAGGGATGACTGGAGGTCACCTTGCACAGGTGGGTCTCATATATCATGCATTATTCCAAAATAGGGCTGGTGCCCATCTCCAGCACTGGACAAGAGGCATTATGCACAGCGCAAATCTAAAATGTGATGCATTAAACATTTTCATTTGGACTTTGACAGTGTTTTAAAAGGTTAGAATACATTTGTGTTTTTCTGATCTCATCGATATCCTGATCTCATCCTTTTTTTAAATGAAAGTCAAGAGGGGAGAAAGAGCCCCTAATAAGTAAACAGTAGCTTTTTTTTATCCTCATACTAAATTGAAGTTCACAATCATCTAGAAACCCATTGAATCTTTTTTTTAAAGCTTTTTTTTAGTCTACATTATGAATATAGTAGCTTATGGATAAAGCAGAGATAGACAATATTTGTATATAGCAGGATTTACAAAAGAAATTATATGACCCAGCAATCAGTTCAAACTTTGATTTAACAGTAGATGATATTTGTATTTTGATCATTTATCGAATTCTCCTTTAACCCAGAATATCTTGGGTTTCAAACATCATGCTGTTGAGACACACAGAACAATAAAAGCAGAGAGATATAATTGCAACATAGAAAAAACAACAACACAAAAGCCATAAACTTCAAAATCATAGAATTCAAAACAAAACCTTAAGCTCACCAAAAGAAAACGAGACAAAAACACATCGAAGTTTGCATCATAGTTGTTTCTGTGCTTCTTGGTCATTCCTTTCAGTGAATGCATCTGTGAAGGAGAGATGAAGTAGGATGGGTTGCCATGTTTTTATTGCTAGCAATCAAAAGCAATTACATGCACAACAATGTGGAAAAAATACTTACAGCCTTGTTAACTAGACCGTACTGAAGGCAGACCGCAAAGACAAGATAGGAACAGAAGCGTGAATATCAACAGAGAATGTAAAGACAGAAAGACGTGGTTGGCTGAATAATTTTGTGGAAATCCAGTGATGAAGGTTGCATCTCAGGCTGCAGTGAAATGTGTTTGATTCCACTTGAATTCAGCAGAGTGTCTGGCTTATTTAAAGAGGGGCTGGAGGATCACATGTTGATTCTTTAGAGCCTTGGCAAACCAAATTAGCTTCATTCTTTTATTTGGAAACATCTCATCAAGTCTTAATTGTTATGACCACCTGTGAAACGGAGTGTTGTGGAGTTCTGTGCATCTGTTTCCTTATGATAACTGCAGGATTTTCGCTGACTGAGTCCAGTGAGTGGGCACCAAATGAGGACCACAGGAGACAGGGCGACAGATTGCATTCCTTCAGATCATGTAGTTTCCAACGCGATGCGCAGCATCATCCCAGCCACGCTGCTGATCTCCAGGTTTTTTCCATCCAATGAAAGCCTGGCATGGTGCCTTTGACCTAGATATTTAGCTGCTTTAAGAGCTGGTCTTTTCCAAAAAAGAAATTGAATCCATCCTTTATTGTGCCTTGGACATTATCTGTACCCCTGGAACCGTTAATGTTTGGATCTTAGGTTGTTTTGTAGCTTGATTTGATTCTAGTTTTATTATTATTTGTTAGTTTTTTTTTTATTTTGGTTAGATCAGTCTTGTTGCTGTTTTTTTTAGTTCAGTCTTTTCTTAGTGATTCTAGTTTATCCTGCTAATTTATTGTGTCTAGTTATTCTTACTCAGGTTTATTATTTTTAGTTTGCTTTACTGTAAGATTAATTTGCTTGTCCCCCGGTGTACTCTTCCTCACCAGCTGTGTCACTGTGTGTCTCTCTCTCCCACTCCTCTCTCTGCCTTCTGCTCTTTCCACTCACATCTACAGTCAGTTAGCCAGTCAGCCCAGGTCCATTGTTTCAGCATTCAACCTCCCACTACTTAAGCACCTCTTTCTCAATCACTGTAATTTTTTCCCCTGGATTCCTGTTTTTGTTTTGTCTCTGGCTTCATGTGTTTCCTGCTGAAATTTTTTTCAGCATTTCTTCATTAAATAATTATTTATGCCTCTGCCTCTCTGCATTTGGGTTGTTCATTGACCAACTTACAACATGATGTGTAAAACTCTTTTAGGAGGGATTTTCGTATAGAATAAGATAGGAAGTGGTCTGCAATTTAGAAATAGAAAACAACAACAACAAAAACAACAAGCTTTCAGTTTCTTTGACAAATGAAGTGTAGTGTGTAATTGCACTCACCCTCCTTCAATCTAATACCCCCAAAGTAAAACTCTGAGCAAGCAAGAAAGCATTAAATTGAGGAACAGCCAAGTGATTTGTTGCAACTCTGAAGAAACTGAGGAGATTCACAATACATGCAGAAGAATCTGTTGATATGAGAACTGTTAGTCATGCATTACAAGGATGTAAAATTGATCAAAAAGAGGCTAAAAGAAAGCTATTGTTAAAATAATCTGATAAGCCCCATAAGCAGTTTACAATAAAGCCAGTTAGGAACACTGCAAACATCCGGAAGGAGGTTCTCTGTCCAAATCAGAGAAAAATGAAGCGTTCTATTCTGTATGCACAATGTTATGCGCGGCAGAAAACCAATACTGAACATCCCCATTGACACCATTTCTGCCGTGAAACATGGTAACAGCATTATTCTGTGGGGATGCTTTTCTTCAGCAGGGACAGGGACGCTGGTTAGAGTTGTTGGGAAGATGGATGGAGCTGAAAAAGGCTGTCCTGGAGAAAAAACCCAATAGAAAATGCAAAAGATTTGAGACTGGGGAGAATGATTATATTCCTACAAGACAATGACCCGAAACATAAACCAGAGCAATGACAGGATAGGATAGAATAGATCAAAGCACCTTTATGAGTTAGAAAAGCCTGTTAAAGACCAGGCCTAAAACTAATTGCAAACTACTGTTAAGACACAGTCGGACTGAGCCTGAGGAATTTGTTCAAGGGGCAGTAAGTAGGATAATTTGATTGAATGAATCTGTGCCTGAGATTATGTGAAAAAGTTTGCAGCTACATTTTGCAAAAAAAAAAACAAAAAAACAAAAAAAACAAATCTGGTCCTGGGATTAAATTAAATGTCCATCTGAAAATGAACACTGGCATTCTTCCAGGACATGCATGTTTTATAGGTTGTTTCTGTTCCAGATCTTGTTTCCTAATTAGTCCTAATGTGCTCTGTTAGGCTAAAAGAGAGAACTGCTTGTCCTGTGAATAGTCAAATTAGACAGGCTGGAGGGAGGATGTAATGTAGGAGCAGTCAGGTATGCTTTCCAGAGAGTGCCGCAAGAGAGAGAGGGTTGTAATCAGCAGCTAGAGGTGTCTAATTGGCATATGGGTGTGGAAGAGTCAGGGTGGGTTGTTCAGTCAACCGAACAAAGAGTACATTCTGGTGATAGAAATGTGAGAGAAAAGCAAGAGTAAGAAGAAATACAAATGACTCCAATTACTTGTAAAATAGATGGAATCTTTAAAGTACAGACCTGCAGAGCTGGTGGAACTGTAAAGGCTGGCAGCTTCATATTACTGCTAATAAGTTTGTTGGATTGCCAAATGTTGAGATTTGTGTGCACACTGAATTTATTTTAAAAATGACTTTGGAATAAAACGCCAAAGCTCGAACAAAATTGGACCGTCCATCAATAACTGTGCATCTGGCTCCCCACGTCCAGGCACCAAGCCATCTTCTTCTCTACATATTTTTTCATTAAACAAAATTCAGCACCATGAAAACACAGAAAAATCACCAAAGCCAAAAATGTAATCTCTCCAAACAAGATCAAGCAACAGAAATGCAAAGCTTTGGACTGCCACAGAAACACCATGTAAAAAAAAAAAAAAAAAAATGTAAAATATCAAATGCAGATTTTTTTTCTTTGGTAGTTAATCCACCATTAGATCCTCTTCATGATTTCTAATCACTAAGAAAAAGCTTAGTAAACTCATTATTTTAATTTGATCTGCAAAATTGAAAACAAATACCATTCAAGCAGACTTCCATGTTGTAAAGATGTTTTATTTTTATGCTCAGTATGATAAAATGATTTTTTGAGTTAATATACACAGATGTCACCATCAATAAATGATAAACATTAAGCTACAGATGAAAGGATTATTTTAATCTCTGTAAACACTAACATTAATGTCTTTGTCAATGTTTATGAGGAAAGAGTTTCTTCTGTTGGGCACATAAAGCGCTTTTATGTTAGACTTCTGAATAGCAAAGTGAGAAGAAAAAAACCACTCAGAGTTTTTGCTGAAAAGCTCGTCAGCAATAACAAATTCCTCAATAACCATGTGCTACAGTGCAATTAAATTTTGTTCTTGTCAGTGGCATGGATCTCTCCCAGTAAAATCCCAAACAAATTGAGGATTAAAAGTAGCAGAAGAAACAACAAATTACAAGTGAAACATGTAAATGTTTTGTTACTTTGTAAACTTAAATTTTTCTGTAGGTCTTTCCATCTAGCTCAGTGTTTCTCAACCCTGGTCCTCACCGCCCCCCTGTCCTGCATGTTTTAGGTATTTCCCTTCAGCCACACACCTGAATTTTATCTCTGGGTGATTAACAGGCTTCTGCAGCACTTGATGGTCATGCAATCATTTGAATCAGCTGTTCTGGAATAGAGGCACATCCAAAACATGCAGAGCAGGGGGCGGTGAGGACCAGGGTTGAGAAACACTGATCTAGCTGTTCATGCTATGCCTGGTTGATTTATTTGTGTTGTCTGTCTAGCAGGAGAAGCTTGCATAATCCCCTACATGTATGTGGTAAACTGAAATAAACTGTTTCCGTTGGGTGGAACAATGTGCCTCATTTGAATGGTGGCACTGCATACATATTATGTTTCTGAACTCAAAGTTCTTGGTTTTATTTCCTTACAGCAGATAGTCTCGGTGACATTCTCGTCTTTTCCCTTATGATCAGTCCCTTCCCACCTCTGGTTATTCTGGCCCAGGTTTCTGGATGTATTTCCTATTAAGATAGTGATGAATTTCATTTTATCCTCACAGGAGTAAGAGAGGCAGCAATGGGCTGGACTATGACTCTGAAAGATGACTTTGGGGTCAGCGCCTGGACACGGCACACTGGGAACTTCCTCAGCCTTTTCCTTCTCATCTCGTCTCTCTTTTCCATTCCAGCCCACTCGGACATTGTACTTTCCAAAGCCCATCATTTTTCATGGAAAGCAGGTAAAATATTTTATTGTTGCCCATTGCCATTGCTGTTTTCAACACTTATGATAACTTTCTTCTGCAAAGGAAAATCGGTAAAAACATTTAGAAAGTGAAATGTGTTGTATTTATTCCACAATGGTGTTTTTATTTTATTTTCTCAAATAAAACATAGAATGGGATGTATTTCATTGGAAATAAATATCAACTCTTCAACCAGCTTCCCTTTCCTTGAAAAAGCAAAGTGACCTAACGGCATAATGCTTCTCTTGGGTTTGTTTGGTTTTTTAGTCAGTTTTCTCCAACATAGGGTTTATCATGTCGGCAAAAAAAAAAGGTTTTGACCTCATTTGACCATAGCACTTGTTTCCCAAATGTTTGCTCTGTTGTTGCTATGTGTGTTTTATAGCCTAGTTCTGCTCTAAACTCCTCCTGAACTTTATTCCTGTTCCTATTTCCTGATTTCTGACTGTTCCTGGGTTGCACCAGGCACAGATCTTGCATCATTCCTCCATTCAGTGGGCCACTGCTTCTGCACCCAAGAGTGTGAAAATAGATTCAATTATTTAAGCAGTTTACTTAAATATTTACTTTAAATACCAGTAGTCTGAGTATTTATAAAACTCAATAACACACATTTTTCTTTGAGTCTAGAATGTCTCATAGAAGTTGCATATTTGAACGTGCACACCCACCTATTCTTAGGTATGTTGCCTAAAGTGTAAGAGTCATTAACATATTTAGAAAACAAAGATAGCAAGCACTAAGCAATCAGAAAAAGTACTTTTATTTTCAGAGAAACCCACTCTTTGGAGAGAGTAACCACTTTTTTTCTTACCCACTCAGCATAAATCTTAGTCTGCTCGACATCATCAAGCCTGCAGGTCTGTATGCCTCGATGGTTAGCATAATATTTTTTTCTGAGTGACTGTGCACCGACACTTCCACATGTGACAAGCAGAGTAGGAATAACAATGTAGTTGAAGCAGTTAAACTTCAGACTCAACTATGCGCACAGATTTCATCTGCTGAAATGGTTTGAGAAGAAGTTCCACCCTGTTTAAATGTTTATTAGGAAATGTGTCAATACAAAAAGTACATTTACATTGTAGATTTCCTGGTTTTATTACAAGTGTGGATACACTACAGTATGTGCATATAGTATTTTGTTTATACCCAAAAATTATATATTTTCTGAGAACCATATCCCAAGACACTTTCATGTTTCAATTTTCTTTACAAAGAATTTTGAATAAGTTCTGAATTTAGTCTCTCCTTGCCTCAAAAACTCAATTGAACGCGCATTTGCAAGGCTGCCAGAGCGGGAAAACTTGGCCTTTCCACACAAAGGCCCCACTTGCTGTGCGATTAGCACTTTCATTTCTCACTCTGTGGTTGGGTAATGACACTGCCTGTGTGATAAAGAGATTGATTAATTTCACTTGAAAGCGCTTATGTTCAAAAGGCATGTAACCGGGACACCAAGCGCTAGGATTTGACATCCTTCCAGAGCTTAGATGGCTTATGAGTTGTTTCTTGACTGGAAAAAGGAAATCAATTCAGAATCAAGAAAGAGAAAGTCAGTATCCAACTTATGCCTGTTTGCCTGCAGGGAAGCAGTGAGAATAGAACAAATGGTACTGAAATGTCTTGAAATGTAAATCCTAAAACAAACTTCAGTCATATGGTGCAATGTGGGTAGCTGGTGTGTGGTGTTGCAATAGGATGCAATGTTAGATTGAATAAAATTCCACAAAATTTTCTCAAATTGACAAGTTTTTCTTTTTTAATGAACAAAACTTTTACTTGAGCTTCAGATTTTCTTAAAAAGGAAATGACTTTGCACCACTAATAGATTTTATATGATGCAAGCAATTGTTAATCGAAGTACAAAATTACCTTGATTAAAAAACTGAAATGAGTTATGCACTTTCTTTATTTTCTGAAATAATAAAATGTTTTTGCTACAAAAACAAACAAAAAAACAAAGTAACTTTCTTATCAAGATTTTTGTCCTGAATACAGATCCAACCTATTTAAGACTAAGTATTCCTAATTCAATGGCTGCATTAAGACGAATGTAAACACTACAAACTATGAGGACAATTGTGTAGTTTAAATGCTAACTATTCTGCAGCGCTGGCTCTGGGTTATTGTACTGCTGTACAAGCCACTTGGATTCTCTGGTAGAGAACAGATACCTGATTCCATCAACTGAAGGTATCCATGGACTAAGAAAACAAAGCAGCCCATATCATCACATTAGCGCCACTGTGTTTGACAGCCAGCATGATAATGTAATTTCTAAAATACTCCATAAGTTTCAATTGTCTTCTCAGTGCATATGACTTCCAATCAGCTCACAATATTTCTAATGAAACAGATAACGGCGACATTAGATGACACCTTACCGGTGATAATGGCACACTTTCTTATCCCCCTTGGGTAGCACTGTGTTGATTATGTAGTGTTGAGAAGGAACAATGCACTGTGGCTCAGGCAACAACGAGAACACCATCTGGACATATTTTGTATAAATGAAATTATGTAACTCCTAGAAGCAAAGCGGCAAAGATGAGGAAAAAAAAGTAGGCAACAAAGCTAATTTAATTCCAAAGACACCATTGAAACCCAATATTACCATGACAACTACATTGTACTCGGCACATTTGAATTCTAAATTTGGCTCATAAGCAGCCTTTTTTTTTTTTTAATATGTAATTGCCTAAAGTTTGATCTGCTCTAAATTAGCACAGCCACACTATTGTGTTTGGTGTGCCTATCTAGGCCAGCAGCATTGTTGGCGGACTCTTTTATGTGAGCCAGTTCCCAGAGCTGTAGCTAAGCTCTGAGTCGACGGCTCAAACAGGGAGCAGCAGCCATTTATGCTTGACCTTCATCGGTGCCTTTAAGAACAGAATAGAGCACTGAAACACTGTGCCTAATGGACCTATTATTTAACTCTTTAAGATAACTGCTCACAGATGTTCTCTTGCAAACAGCCTCACTAGCCTCTTTTTTGACACATTTACCACAAAATGACAGCATGGAAAGTATTACAAGATGGAAACAAAAACACCAAGGTTGCCTGTTGGGGAATATGTGCTACTTTACAAAGGACAACAGTTTTCTATTGATTTCCGATTTAACATTACTGCTGAGAGGACGTTATGAGGGCTGTCACTTGGAAACTTAAAAGCTGCACTTCACACCAGTGGTGTCACCTACACAGCACAGGGTTATCTATGCTCACCTGCATGTTGGGTGATTAATGCGGTTACAGTCATGTTGTCCTAGGTGTATCTTGTCAAAGGAGTGTTGGCTAGTAGTGCACACAACACGATAAAAACAATCTATACTCCTTCCTTGTGTCATTCCATGATGATGGAGTGACCTACCAAGCACGACCAGGACCGTGTTGTCTATCATTATGAAACCCTTGCAGACTCTGTTCTTCTGAGAGTGTCTCTACCCAAACCTACTGCCTTGCCACAGCCTGTTTGCAGTTAAGGTCATCTTTTAAAGTGGCTTGTGTTAGCTTGCATTGTCCTATCCTCATGTATAAAGGCAAGGCATTTTATTTGTACTACGTATTTTCAGCAACTGGGCAATTCAAAATACTTTAAATGACTGAAACCACAAAAGATGAGATGAAGAGGAAAACAAGGAGAGATTGAAAAATAGACAACAGTTTATGATGTTTCATTTATTAATCAAAGTCAACTCTAAGCAAATGGGGTTTTAGTCTTCATTTAAAGGAACTCATTGTTTCTGCATTTTTGCAGTTTTCTGGCTGTTTGTACCAGATTAGAGGAGCATAGAAACTGAATGCTGCTTCTCCATGTTTGGGTCTGATTTTAGGGATTCAAAGTATCCCTAAAATACTGAGTGTTCTAAAAGGTTGATACAGTGACATCACATCTTCATTGTATTCTGGTGCCAAGCCAACCAGTTGGTTTGGTTAAAAGTGTCTACCAAATGTGTTGGCATAAATATAACTTCCAATAAAGAGTTAGTTTCTTGTGAATAACAATTGTTTTGTCTCTAGATTTTTCCAGTTTCAGGGACAGTCGTAGAGATTATGATCTTTTTCCGGAGGGGATATATATTTGATGCTTAATTTGGGGGTTTATAGACATAAACTGTCTTGTCAGTGGGAGGTGGGGAGCAAATGTCCAGAGAGCTCTCCCTAACCAGTTCTGCGCATCAAGCATACTCCACATGCAAATTCTTGTTGAATTTACATGTGGAGTTTGACAAAAAAGCCAAAGACAGGCCGTGTTGTTCTTTAGATGTTGTCGAGATCATCCCACTTCCCCATGCTGGAGATTTTAGTTTAATAGTGACAATAAATAAAG